CTGAAGAAGCTCGCACACAGCTGGAGACCAGGGGACACTAAAGAGTGACGCACACAGCTGGAGACCAGGGGACACTAAAGAGTGACGCACACAGCTGGAGACCAGGGGACACTAAAGAGTGACGCACACAGCTGGAGACCAGGGGACACTAAAGAGTGACGCACACAGCTGGAGACCAGGGGACACTAAAGAGTGACACATACACTTTTTAGTGTCCCCTGGTCTCCGTTGTGTTTAAACGCACCTCATAGTCTCTAATGTTTTGTAGACGGTGAAAAATACTCTGGAAATAAATGCACAATAACCAACAACATCATAATGTGTTCATGTTTTTTAAGCAAAGATTCAGATAATGGTAAGTCACCTAAGAGTAGCAATATAATCTTTGTTTTAAGCAAACAGCAGAGCATCTGCTGATTCAAACAAAGAAGCTAGAAAACTAAATAAATCGTCTTTTCTTTCCCTGGAGGAAGATAATGATTTCTGCCACGATGATAAAACAATACAGCTTCATAGAGCATGAAGAAGCCCTCTTACACACACACACACACACACACACAGACAGACAGACAGACAGACAGACAGACAGACAGACAGACAGACAGACAGACAGACAGACAGACAGACAGACACACACACACATACACACACACACACACACAGACAGACAGACAGACAGACAGACAGACAGACAGACAGACAGACAGACAGACAGACAGACAGACAGACAGACAGACAGACAGACAGACACACACACACACACACACACACACACACACACACACACACACACACACACACACACACACACACACACACAGACAGACAGACAGACAGACAGACAGACAGACAGACAGACAGACAGACAGACAGACAGACAGACAGACAGACACACACACACACACACACACACACACACACACACACACACACACACACACACACACACACACACACACACACACACACACACACACACACATACACACACACACACACACACACACACACACACACACACACACACACACACACACACACACACACACACACACACTTAATAATCTAATCATTTAAAGTGAATTGTTCTGTCTGTATTCGTCCATCATCACTGTGATAACGCCTCTGTAAACAGGGCTTCCCCCCACGAACAACAACATAACAATAAACATCCCACTGAGTGATTTCTTTATATAAAAAAACAATTGACTTTGCACTCAACATGCAAATTGAACAGCAGATGGTCCTTTCACTTCACCAGACACTTTTTTTTTCGTCTCAGGAACAATACAGACTCAAAACACGGGCAATAACTTTACGTGCAAATAAAGAAAATAAAAACAGAAATAAAAATAAACAACCTGGGAATTATTGTTTCTTAGCTTGTTTTTCTTCTCCAAGTCATTCAAAACACCCTGGGGGAATAATGTGTATATCGTCCATCAACTGCTTCTCTGTGTGTGTGTTTGTGTGTTTGTATTCGTACACTTATGAGGACCAATGCCAGTTTTTAGACTCACCATGTGAGGACATCTTCAAGTCACTTCTTTTAAATGCTTTTTAAGGTTTAAGACATGCAATAATCAATGAAGTTGAAGTAAGGATTGGGTAAGAAACAATAAAATAAGATGTAACAGTTAATCATTGTGTTACATGTATTCGCAAAATGTCACCTCTACTCTTGGTTTTTGCATAAAGTTTATAAAGCGTCACGATTTGAGATCCAAATCAGCCTTAAGAAGTTAACTGCACATAGGCATGCATTAGCCTTTAGGATTAAAACACCAGTGCAACCGTGATTGAAAAATGCACGTTATAAAAGAAACCGTTTTGTAAACATTTCATAGTTTTCTCTTTCCTTCATTTTGCTGACATGCCCCATATTTCGCTCGAAAAAAAAGCCAAATGTCTTTGAGTCAATCTTGAGTTTTCTTTATCTTTATCCCAAAGCCAAAGCTCAGGAAAACAGTTCTTGTAAACATTCTACAAAATAAAGTTAAATAAAGAAGAGGCAGGGTGAAAGTTTGAGGCACACTCACAAAACATAATGAATGGATGTTGAGAATAAGTCACGTTGTCTGTTGGATGAAACAGAGCCATAACGAACTGACTACTTGACGTGTTTAGAGATAAGGTGAGGAAGAGAAATGTCACCATGTTGGACACAAAAGGAAAACATTGCAATATTACAACTTAACAAAAACGATGTTAAACTTCCATTACTCAGATATTAATAATTTGTCTACACGGCCTGGAAACATTTTTTAAATGAGCATTTAAAGAAGGCTGCAATTTGGACAAACTAAAACTAACAATTTTTGTAGAAACAGAGAAAACATGAACTCGTCCACGTACAACCAGAGCCGTCTCTTTCTGATTCTTTCACACAGTCTCTTTACAACAGGCTGCTTATGCTGATTCTGCCCATCTTGAGAATTTATAACTACTTTCCAAATAAAGTCATTGCTGTGTGCTGCCCAACTAAAATGACTAAATTATGTGCAGCACATTTTATAGAGCTCAGATTATTTTTCACAGATGGAGAAGCAGATTTATTGCCAGAAAAACTAACAATAACATTAACGGAAAAAATGAATTCGGCATTTTAATGGAATTATTCTTTCTGCACACAGAATCCTCTTAATATCCTTTTGAAATACTCACGACATAACAGTCCAATTAAACTAATTATATAAATGATGGGGTAAATATAAGTATTGTATTGTATTTCACTGATTATTTGAAACTGTATGTCTTTAGACAAATTACAGATTTATGAATGCTAAACTGGGAACTTAGAAAAAGAGAGTTTATGGTATTAATTCATTTAAATATAATTAGAATTTCTTAATTGGGAGAGTTCACTCAATCATCTCAATTTTTCCCCATAACTGGTTCTCGTCAAATAACAATTATTAAGATGTTTTTGAAGTGTAAAATGAGGCTAAATAATTTGTGAAAGATTTAAATATATCTGGCTTTAATGTACTTGTATTTCTCGAGAAAGGTGGGTCCACAATATGCAGAATAAATGGATGAATAAATGCAGGGAACTTGAGAAAGCTGAAGTAAAAAAACTTTGTCTGAATATGATTTGATTTAGTTTAGTCTATTTCAACTTGTGTCAACATCCATGCAGTTTAAGCCTGTTTTTGATTTGGATGTTAGGGGAAAAATAAACATTTCAAATACATTCATTTACTTTTTTTTAAACCCGGAAATACAGAAAAAACACATCAACAGTTCATCGTGCTGGTACTCAAAACACACACCTGCAACAACAACCAATCACGTCATGCTTCAACCGGTGATCGTCCAAAACAACAGATAAAGCAGCTGCACACACCCTGTCTGCTGCAGCTCGGGGGGACATCAGATCTTTTGTACCGTTAAATGAAGTTTGGGGAGTGTGAGAAGAAAAATCAATATCGATCAATATCACCGCTTGACAGCTTTATCTCCACACGCAATTGAAGACGCCCGGCAGCTTTTTTCTGTGTGGACAGAGATAACGTTTGAAGAGGAAGAGAGACATCTGTCTGGTTTAGAGTTAAATACAGATATCTTGAGATTTAAGGGAAGATACAGAATGAAAACCTCAGTTATTGTTTCCCTGAATGTGTGTTAGGAGAAAGGCCGAGTAGTAGGCTTTACACAGAGGCTTTTAAATGCCTGACATCTTTACTAAATTTAGCAACATCCGGCTCAACTGTCTTACATGTTTGACATTAGATTAGAAACAGATTTAAACTGTCTTCCCACTGGACACAGTCTGTTTCATGTAGAACATCTTTAAACTTCATTTTGTATTAATTGTGGTGGAAATATCAGGCTTTTTGGGCAAATGTAATCCAATTCTTAAGGTTTTCCTGAAAGTTTTGAAATAATAAACCCTAACTCTAACCCTTAATGCCATTGATTGGCTAACCCTGATATTCTTACCCTCACCCTAACCAATCCCACTACTCATGCCTAAAACTCATCCAATCCAACCAAGGAAGGCAACAAGTATTAACCAATCAGAGGCAGCATAGGACGGGTCATCTTTTGCTGTTATTCTACATAATAGTTATTCATTTATGCTCCTGCTTTGTGAAGGGAAAGTGAGTACTTAAAGAACATGGCAATTCGTTTTTTGTTCAAATTAAACACTTTTGGGACCGTTGCCATTTCGGAAAGATGATCAAAGAGTTTCAATAGAAATGTACAGACGTTGTTTCTCTTTGTTCCTTCATTTCAAATTAGGTTGGCAAAACCTATCCATACCTACAGATGGCAATACTTTATTTAACCTTATCTGATCTAAACCTGGCGCCACACACACTTTGCATATTTGATGATCGTCTCAGTCCGATCCTTGCATCTTATTATCGATTCAAACCTTAGTTGTGTTTCTTCAAATTGGCGACATTACTCTTTTGATTCCGGCACAAAACAACAAAGCAAGGACACATTTCTGATGTATAAATGTAACCTGCTTCTCTGTCGTGTTTATTTACAGCTTTTTTTATTTTGCCTACCGCGTAAACTGTGTCGTAGTCATGACGTCGACACTTAAAGGGTTTATTCCACAATTAATCAATATTGGAAAAACATTGTCTTTGCAGTTAATTAATCTAATCTGTGTTGGTTTCTGTTGCTGTTGTTTTGTTTGTTTTTATTGGACAGAAACTTGCTAAATGTTTAACCAGTCTCCCAGTCTTTATGCTAAGCTAACGTGATAAGAAGAATGCACTGCTTCCGGGCCAGTGTGTATGTTTAGCAATGGCAAAGTGTTTGGACAGAAACAAAAAGCTCAAATACCTTTCTAACGTAAAAGCAGAACCTTACACTGAAACCCAACATGAAACCTTATTTCCCTGCATATGTTAAAGCAGCCACTAACGTATTAAAGCAGAAACATGAATGGTAAACCAACTCTAAACAGGTGTGACTGAAGACCTGCAGGGTTACATCTCATTTTCAGACTCAAACACCCATAAGCATTTTCTCTGACCAGCGCATGCTTCAGGTGCATTCAAGATTCATCAGATCACATCCTCCAATTGAGCAGAAACAAGACTTCCCCCAGGTTTAAATAATAAAAGATGAACTCTCAGGCGTCTGCTGCTGTTTGTTTGCTGTTCCCTGATTGGATGTTTTTGCACTTTTACTTCAAGACCTGCTTCTTTTTTTGGATAGCAGGCTAATCCGAGGAGACGCAAATCATGCTACACGGCGGTTAGCCTCGTCCCCGCCGAATTTATCTCTGACAGGCAGCTACTCGCAAAACTCTTCATCCACTTTTCTCCACCAGGAACCTCTGTTTTACTTCTCGTTATAAACACAAAACGTATCTCTCTGTTTGGCCTGTTCTTTGCACTCAAAGCTCCTCGAGGTGTCGCAGCAAATATGTTTCCAACGAGCATTAGTTCAGCGCTGCTAACGAAGTGCGTTCCCGGCGGACATTGAGTCTCTTTTTCTGCAGCAAGTGTTCTTCTTTCCTCTAATTCTTCATTTCTAGAGTCTGTCCAGGTCTCTTTTCAGGCCCTACGGACTCTGCTGCTCCATGTTGTCGATTAAAGGTTCTTTCTTCATGAACTGCAGATGTCTGATGGACCTCCAAACCCCCAGATAGCTGTCACTGACCGACGGACCGGGGTTCGGGGCGGCGTTTTCCTTGTGAAGATGCTCTCGCTGCATCTCTAGCATTTCTGTTTCCGTCATAACATGGGGATTCGCCTCTGTTTCTCCGTTTCCTGTCCACACATCTCCGTTAGCCACACCGTCCTGAACTACCTCGGTCTTCCCGTGACCAATCAACACCCCGTCGACCTCCGTTTGTCCCGGATTAGATCCAGGATCCCCGTTTAGAGCCGGTTTCTCTTGGTGAGGCTCGCCAGGAAGCGCTCCGTCTTTCCCAGCTTCCTCCAGATCTTCGTACAAACTCATCTTCTTCGTCTCAAAGTATTTGACCACGCAGTAAGTGACGGAGCCGATGGTGTTGACCGCCACGCCGCCGATGAACAGGCGAGATGGCGCCACGTCGGTGAACGCCAGCATTCCCACCGTGATGGTGGCGATGCTCTTGACGACGCCGACGAAGCTTGTGGTGACGGCGGAGTTGATGTACGTGCAGTGAAGCGTGGTGAAGTTCATGAGACAGCCGATGAAGACGCAGCAGAAGAAGATTACGGTGATGTGGGGGTCCTTCCAGCCCTCGTACGACCACATGTTGACGGTGTCCAGGGAGATGAGGGAGCACACCAGCAGCACCTGAATGGACAAAGAGAGAGGGCAAAAGTAAACACATCCTTTACTCAAGTAGAAGTACAGATACTCATGTTTAAAATACTCTGGTGAAAGTAGAAGTACTGACTAAACTTCTTTACTCAAGTCAAAGTAAAGAGGCTTTGAAATGTACTTCAGTAAAAAGTACCCATAACTAGCAGCTGTTTTAAAGAGTACCTGACCTCCCTTTATATTAATAGAACAATAATGTCATTGTTAGCTAATGAATGTTTCCATGGTGAACAACGGCAACATGACAACGTTTCCATTAGTCCCTCTTCTTTAGAGAAGACCAGGAAATGATGGATACACGGATCGTGTTCAAATCAATAGGCACGCAATGACTCTAAATAATAATGATCACGCCACCAAACACACATTCAGACTAAAGGAACCAGCCTGTTTGGAAAATGAGAGAAGTAGAAAGTACAGGTATTTGTGTTCAACATGTAAGAAGTAGAAAGTACAGGTATTTGTGTTCAACATGTGAGAAGTAGAAAGTACAGGTATTTGAGTTCAACATGTGAGAAGTAGAAAGTACAGGTATTTGAGTTCAACATGTGAGAAGTAGAAGATCTACAGCGTATTTGCGGTTCAACATGTAGAAGTAGGAAAGAGCTACGTATTTGTGGTTCAACATGTAAGAAGTTAGAAAGTTACAGGCGTATTGGCAGTTCAACATGTAAGAAGTAGAAGAGTAAGGTTCTTCACCATTACGTTGGTATCACCAAGAACTATTTTTTGCGGAAGTGACCTGCCCTTTATCAATGCCACATAGGGGATTTTCTTAAAGGCGATTGAACGATACATTTAAACAGCTAAATCCTACATGCGATGGGCTAATGATATTAATAATGCAAGGAAAGGTATTTGTGATTTGTAGTTCTGTTGCTTTCTCATTCTGCTTTATTTTATGTTCACATTATGTGAAGCGGATTAGCTTCGTGTATCTAGTAATGAT